AACGGTCGCCGCGCGCTCGTTAACGGTCGCCGCGCGCTCGTTAACGGTCGCCGCGCGCTCGTTAACGGTCGCCGCGCGCTCGTTAACGGTCGCCGCGCGCTCGTTAACGGTCGCGCCGTGTTTCGGACATTAGCTGAGGGGAGCAGGGGTCAAGCACAACCAGGGAGCAAATAACGCAAGCAAGCGGGGCGGGGGCAGGGAATGGGTAGCGGGGACCAAGCACCTTCCCGGGGAAAAAACGTCTTGGAAGAAAAGAACGAAAACATGGAAAAGCCAGGGGTGGAAGTTAAGCCTGGAGAAGATACAGGTGGTGGAAAAGAGCCCCGCTCAAGCAAAGCTGGAGAAGGCAGGAGCACAACAGCCTTGCTCACCCCGCGCCCTCCACGCATCCCGCGGGATGTTAGTAACAGTAGTTACCTTGAAACGTGTGTCAGGATGTTGGCAGCTCCCCGGGCGGCCGCAAGAAGCCGGGGTGCTACGGCACGCTGGCGAGGGCAGGCGTTCAGAGAGCAAAAATGAGGCTAAGACACTGTGGAGAATTTAGAATAAATACAAATCAATGGAGACATCAGGAGAGCAGAGGCCGCAGGATGTCATGAAACGCTATCCAAGGGCATGGGGCTGGAGGAGCAGTAAAGGGGATTTTAGGATACTGGTGGAAACAGAAGGGCTCCAGTTGAGCTACATCCCCATTCAGGGATTTTGCACTGCCTGAGCTAGAGACCAAAAGGCAGGTCTGCGTTTGAGAGAAATGTGGCGTTTCTTAAGACAGATGGTGATTGGGAGATACAGTATTTGCTCTTCTGGGCTATTCAAACAAACCTTACCCATGGATGCAATGCTAGGAATAGGCCTACCTACCTCCTGTTAACATCTAAGAAAAGATGGACCTCCATATCCCTTAAAACACATGGAAGGTTGAACCTCCGTGCCCTGTGCTGTAACAGCCTTTTTAGGGAGGTGATGAGAAAGGCCCCCAACCTGGGAGCAGGAGCAGAAAGATGTTCTCCGGCCTCCCTAGAGGCATGGGAAGCCATCCCTCCAACTCTGTGTGCAATAGTCACAAGTTAATCTAACTTGCCACGGGCCAGCCTCTGACATAACTCCAGTCAAACTAAACCAAGAGCCTATTTAGTCCACTGTTTCTTTCTCTTTTTTTTTTTTCTCCTCTCCACAATTATCTTTTCACAGAGGACAGGCCTCCGCCAATTCTCAGGCTGCAATTAGGGAAGAGTCTGGATAGAACTGTTGACAATATGTTCGCAGAGTACTAAATACCATTGAATATGTTCTGTAAATATTTACACTTGGAGGAAACTGGTTCTTCACATAGTTGGCATGTTGGCATCTGCTGGGCTGAATGGATTACTAATAAAAATGGCATTTTGAAAAGAAAAAAAGCACACACTGGGTCTTTGGGGGGCTGTTTCTTTCAGTGAAACAAAGTAGCTTGCTTGGGAGTCACTGTGTGCAAAATTTTGGTACTGGAGGAGTACAGATTTTCCTAGCAGGGAGCCCTGGACAGAGACAAGGAGTATTGCAGTTGCAGAAAGAGTCTACCTGCAGCTTAAGTGCATGACAGCTCCCTCCGACGTGACAGATAAGGGACACAGCTCATTTCTCGTGCTGCATCTTGCACAGCCCTAAATCCAGTCCCTCACCTCATGACTACTGCCAGCTCCAATTCTGTTTTCTGAACTTTCCAGCTTCCTGAATCCAGAGGCTGCAAGAGAATCTTGACCATCCCTTGAAATGCTCTTGGGGTGAGGTCTAGAAATGCAAAGCAAATGTCCCTAAATGYAGAAATGTCAGAAAGTGTCACCCTCAGTGCACTAAGCTCCTCACGTCGGAGCACCAGGGCCCCCATCCACTGCCAGTTGTCATTTACAAGTCAGATTTCATAATTAATATCTCAAATACTCTTCATAGAATTATTTTTTAAGCCTGGACTCTCACATAACATCACAGCTACAGCAATGTGCACCAAATTAAGGACCTGGTCATAGGACAGAGCATCGAATTAGTTGAACTGGAGACATGCGAGCAGCTAAGCACCACGGGCTCCAGGCACCCGCCGCAGGCTGTTGCCACACATGTAACTACTCAGGACCCACCAGGACGCCCCGGTTACCTTCACACTCCTACAGCCGTCCCGCTGGCATCGTTTCACTGCAGCKTCATCGCGTGGAACGGAGAGCATCCTCGGCCAGAGCTCCTGCCGTGGGAATCCCTGAAGCACAAGGTAAAACTTACACCAAGTCCCCACAGCTAAGCAGCAGCGTGGAGGATGTTTCTGGATGTGCGTTGGAGACAGATTGTAGCTGACACCGTGGCACAACCAACTGCTCCATCCTGCCCTTAACTCTCTTTCTCATTGCTGGCTAGTAACGACTCCTGGTGCACATGCTAGCTGCCCTCTTCCCCCAGCACCTTCTTTGGAGAAAAAAGAAAAAAGAAAAGGTTGGTGCTAAGGGCAACCTGGAGCTCAAGATAACCAGCTATACAAGAGGCATGATGGATTTTCTCTAAGGGAAAGCCAAATATATGCTTTGATTGATTAATACAACTTTCCATGTCCATATAAAGATTTTAAACACACCTCTCCTCCTGGCGCAGGTGTGACCATGCACAGCAGGGTTGGGAACGAGAGAGAAGTATCATGCCAGGCACATGGGTAGAAACCTCCTAAGAACTGCTACCAACCTGGTTTCTTCTCTGATGGGTTTAGCTCTTCCACAGGGATTCCCAGGTACTTTGTGCTGACTGCTTCAGGCTTTGAAGGGTAGCCCAAATGGATGCAGAGGGCGTATTTCAGAACAAGAGGCAGTGGCTTCAGCAAGGAAAACTTGGAAAAGCAACATAAGCTAGAATCCAAGCGTGCTGATGAGCTGGGTGGAAAGGAACAGGGAATTACCAGCTGGAGGAGGAAATAATAATAATAATGTGAGCAGTCAACAAATCATTTCTTTGCTTAGAGCTGTGCTGGGAGGACTCTTGTCCTAATAGACTAAAGGGTGCTTAAAAAATAACAACCTGGAACCTGAGTGCATGTTCTTCATGCTGAAGCAGGATTTCTCCAGCTTTGAGGAGACTGGTCACAACAAGGAATCAAGTTCATGTGCAACCTCCCCATAGCAGACTTCAGGCCCTGCCCAACTCCCTGAACACAAGGTGTTCAAGTCAAATACGATGCTTCCTGCTTCAAACCTCTTCCCTCCCTCCACACACACCACAACACAGGACCTTGATCCCATGCCAAGYACACCTGGACATTAGGGGCAGCCAGAGCTGACTGAATGCTGTGCAAACAGCACTGCAGATCTGATTTTTCCAGCTACTCCATTGTACAGTGCAGGCATTGGGTTTGCCAATGGATTTTGTCTTTTTTTTTTTTTTCTTCTCCTCTTGACAGTAGCATCCATTGAGCCATCACGCTCCTGCTCTCAGACAGGCAAAGAATGAGGAGCCTGTAGCTACTTACATAACTCCAAGAGGCAGAGATGATGACAGCAATGCCTGGCAGCGCTGCTGTCAGGCGCACGGCCTGTGGCACCGCTGCGGGATGTCATCCTTCCCAGTCCTTGCATTTTCAAGCATGAGGTGAACAGGAACTCAGCACAAAAACTCAACCTGGAACACAAGTGTATTTGGCTTGTTGTGCTTAAGGAAAAGAAAGAAAAAAAAGTTATTTTAGAATAAGGAGGAGGATGGTGGATGGAAATTGCCCGGACACCATCAGGAGAGCTGGATTGAGTGCAAAGCAGGCTACACTACAGGGTGCACACACACACACGTAAGGGTGGCACAGGGACCGACTCCCCTTTCCAGAGCTGCAAGAAAAGAGAGGAGAGTTAAAGCTTCATCTCCTCACCGCTGCTTTTCTGCTTGATTAATCCACTGCAAGGATGTCAGGCAAAATTAATGTCTTGGGAAAATGCCACCCCTTGTGCTCCTTTGGCAACAGAGATGTTCCTAGTGGGGAAATCTCACCTTGCCCAGGTGACAGATTAGGGGGCGTGGAGCTGCCCTTCCAGTATCACCACTGTCCTTGCATGAACCCACAAACCTGCTCAACGTGGGGCACTCCTGTGAGCTGGACCACAGCCTCGCTCGGGCACGCGGGCTGCTCAGGAGTGTCACTTCTGAGGGACAGAGTCAGTCCCTAGCTTACACACACAACCAGCTATCACAGACTCCCTAGGGCAGGCCTAGCTTTGTTATTTACTTCATCAGCACAAGGAGTTCTGGTCTGTCAAGCCAAAACCAGTGCTCCTGGGAGGAAGACCTGCTGGCCAGTGACAGGGGTCTTCAGCCAGGTCAGTAGAGGCTGTTTTAATATCCCAGTGGTCTCAGTGTTCTTGTGCCAGGCCATCTTCCACGGCCTCTTGCAGTATCACCAGTAGATGGCAATACAGAGACACTCTCTGCTTCCGCCTTGTCCTGCGCCCGGCAGAATATTTGCAGGATGGAGGGAGAAACAAGGAGCACACAGGGTGGAGGAACCATCCCCTCCCAAGCAAGCCCTATCGCTCCGTGCACAGCAGAGCAGGATGCCCTTGGGGGCACCCTTTATCTTTCCCTTAGCTCTGAACCAGACCTACTGCTCCTTTACTCTGTCCTTCCAATGGAGCAACGTGCTCTGCAAAGGATTCCTGTGCCAGGGCCTGGGACTGCAGTTAATAGAGATGAGGGGGAAATCTCTACTGAAGGAAGAAATAAGACTAGTCAGGTATGTGAGGGGATAGGAAGAACTTAAGCACAAGTTGTTAAATGATTTCCTAAGAAATATTCTTATACCAAGGTCTATCAGGTCTGCAGGGAATGCTGTGACGGTCAGGCTAACCCTATTTTCAGAAGGGGACATAGACGGAAGACGAGGCAAATAATCATACTGTGCTTTCTGCAAGTCATATCCAAGGGCAGCACGGTACTGCCACGTTGCTCATATACTGCAAAAACTCTTACAAACTACAGCAGGGTGTCTACAACCGTGAGTCATGTGGCATGAGCTGGATTACTTGGCTGCAGGTCCATTCATGAAGGCCCTCCCTAATATAATCACACAGAAGGATACCAAGGAATAAGGAGTTTTGTCCCAGACCAACAGGAAAGAGTATGGAGAGGAGAATAAGACAGGCAGTGCCTTGGACAGAGATGTGGCAAACAGGGTGAACATCAACATCCAGAGTCTTCCTGTTGGGGAAAAAAAAGAGCTAAAAACTTGGGGATGAGTTAAGAGGAAAGAGCAGAGCAATTACAGATGTTGTCTCCCATGTATGAGATGCACTGCGGCCTGTTCTGTTCCTGTTTTTATGAAGGATGTGAGCTAGCTGGAGGGAGCTGTACTCTCTGTTAGTGTAGAAGAAAAGGTTCATCAGACACCAAGAGCCACCTTTGGGCTGGCAGAGGCCCTGTAGRTCCATATTCAAGAGAAGAGGAGGTAGGACATGATACAGAGCCAACAATTCAAACAAATCTCCCTCTCTTGCCTTTTACTCTCATGGCTTTTCCCAGATTGGGGGCGAGGGGAGAGGAGGGAAAAGATACAAACAAATGACACAAATGACTGATCCCTTAACTCCCCCAGCTCCTTTCCTGGTAGATAACAAGCCATTTCAGTGGCTGTTAGGGCCCTGGTGTGAGTAACCTTAGCCAGACATTTCATGCCAAGAGAGAAAGAGCAGCAGGTGAGCAGAGAGCAGGTGGTGCTTCCCGTGGAGCTCCTATCAGAGGTCTGTATATCCTGGAGTTATTTAAGGAGAGCGCAGGAAGAACAACCAGGGAATTATTCAGGCCTGGCAATTGCCAGYTGGTTTAGAGCCTCGGATCCTTGCTGTACATCCATCTCCCCTTTGGGACTTTCCACKTATTCCAACAACAGTGAGAAAAAAGAGAGAGCTTTGCATCCCTCATCCTGCAAAAGCAGAGGGAAAAAGAAAAAGCAGTGTAACCACATCACACAYGCAACAAAATCCTTAAGCAAACAAACTTGCAGGCTCTTTCCTCTATCACTGTGAAGCAATATAGACACATGCTACTTCCCTGCTGCTTTGGTGACCAGAAGGAAGCAAGCAGAGCAAGTTTCATCACTAATTCTGACCAGATGTGATGTTCACAGCTGCTGCTGGCACTGGTAGCACCATAAACAAACCGGGGACCCGGCCCCGAGGCGGGCACGGTGCTGTTTGAACTAGCAGGGCGCTGGGGCAGGCCTTGCACGCGCCAAGCAGCCGCACAGCTCCCGAGCAACAGCGCAATACACGCGGGAAGGAGAAGGAAGGAGGCAGCCTGCGCTGACACGAGCCGGCTGGGTGGGACACACGGCCCTCTCTCCGTTAGTGCAGCCTAACTGCAGCAATTGGTTTTCGCTACATCATTCAAGCCACGTCAAACCTCTAGCAGAGCAAGCAAGTTAGAGAACGCTTCAAAAGCAGAGTTACCCCAAGTGAGGGTTGAAGCCTCCTAAAGCCATATATAAAGTATATATTTTTTTCTCTTTTAAAATTTCCAATCATAGTTTATCTCTGGATAACACTAAAAAGCAGGAGAAATTATAAACAGTGCCCCTCCCCTCCAACCTGAATTTTCAGGATCATATCTAAAACACCTCAGGATCCAAACACGTTAACCTTGAGGTGGTGACAGCAGTCAGAAGACTGGAACAAGAGAATCAATAACCTAGGAACTGCTGTACAAACAGAGATCCCACAAGGGAAGGCCAGCATCCTTCAGAGCAACGCTTATGCCCCAGCACCAGCTCATGGGCCAGAGCTCCCCTCTGAGAGGCCTAAGAGGCCTCTAGAAGAGGCGAGGACGACACTTCGCTCGCTGGGCACGTTCACCACGCTGACTGCAGGGACGTGCCCTCCCCTCGTGTCTGCAGGAGCAGCAGGTGGGTTTCGGAGACGACCGGAAGCTCAACTCCAACTTCAGAAGCTCAACTCCAACTTCAGAAGCTCTGCTGACTGCTGAGGACTGACCCTGGTAAGCGGCAAGATGCAACACAAGGCAGTTGAGACTCCAGAGGAGCTTCGTCTTTCCCTTCCCAGGGCTGCCAGGGCCCCCTCTCCCACCCAAACACATTTGGGAGAGCAGAGTGATAGAAACCCCATGGCAAAGCTCCCCTGCCCTCTGGCCCGGCTGCTGCTCCCAATTTTKCCTTTAACTGGCTGGGCTTCCCGCAGCAGCTGTAGGGCGGCACCGTGGGATTCTGGATTGCATGTAATTTTACACTAAGAGAAGAGGAAACAGTAGATACCAAGGCCTATTGCACAACACCAGCAATACCCAGGAGAAAAAAAGAATCACATTTGATCAAGTGGCTCTGCCCTGTGTTATGGGTGAGGAACATCCCAAGGAAAGAGAAAACAGCGCTGCGGAGARATGTGCTTCCACTGCAGACTGTGCAGAGGAATGTGGGAAGAGAGGCAGATAAACGAGCCCTGGTGCCGCTGGGGGTTGCAAGATGACGTGTTTGAGGGCACTGCTCCTACAGGTGGGACACAGATCTGTCGCACGCTCGCTGATGAAAGGGGAACATGTTGTAGGGAGAAGGGGCCATTTATGCAGCTCAGGCTTAAGAGCTTGAGAAAATAGGAGAAGCTCAGAGAGKTTTGAGTTTTCCTTGGTCTTCTCCGGCTTGGACAAGGCTACCTGTACAGCTGACGCAGTAAATACTGTGACATTTCCAGATACTCAGGAGACAGTACCATTTGTGCCCACTCTATCAGCTCAGGACTCAGCAGATCCATATCTGGCTCCCAGAACAGCTACAAGGCTCTTCCATAATCTCCCACTTGCCTTTCATGCCAAACATTCCCGAAGGCAGCAGAGGTTTCAGTTGCCCATTTGAGGTGCCCTGGACGTGCCCCGTTTGGGGGAAGCAGGTACCCCCAGACACAGCTCACAAGCCCAGCTCACCTGCTGAGTGAGCCACCTGGAGCCACCTCACCTTGCTTCGGCTCTTGTCGCTGCTTCTCCCACCTCTTGACCGTCTCATCTCCTCAGATCTCATGATATCCAGGACAGAGACCGGTTGTCTCCAGAGCAAGACCCTCCTTCAGGTTGGAGCCTGTGAGAGGAGGGTAACACAGCCCGTGACTATGCTCAACACACCAGCAAGGGTAAACGTTTGAAAGGGGCTGGAGAGCTTGAGCCAAACACAGCAGCCTGTTACCGCAGATGGCACCATCCCTGTACAACAATCCGTGTCCTGGGATTTCAGTCACTCCGCAGCGCCAGGACGGGCAACCTGCTGCCAATACTGGGTCCACGAGCACCCACCCATGGAGTAATCACAAAGTCCATTATCATCTTCAGTCTTTCAAGGAAAATGCTGCCTTCTTCTGACCTCCAGAGTTACCAGCTGCCAATATTATCCCAGGACACTGGGTTATTGAACACCCACCCTGGCTGCTGCTAGCTCAGTGCCCGCTGCTTGCCAGGGGCCAGCAGCCACGGCCACACACATTGCTGCGGGTCACGGATCCGCACGGAGCATCCCGCAAGGACACCCTGCGCTCCAGGCTGCCTCCCAGAGCAGGCAGCAGAGTTGGAGGCAGGAAGCCCTCAGGACCCCAGGCTCCCAGCAGAGCCGTGGGGAGCAGCGAGGAGCAGCAGCCTCGTCTGTGCAGGCACAGGAGGGCAGAAGCAGAGCTGCAGACACGCGGCATTGGCCAAGGTCCAGGGATTTATTCAGGATCGAGGGGGAAAAGAGACTCTGCTGCAGTGAAAGGAGCCATTTTGCCCACACCAGGAAGCTGCTTTACTGCACTGGCCTCTCCCGGCGCAGGAACACATCCCAACAGCGTGGGGAGAGAGCAGGAAAGTGAGTTAATGAGGGCAGCGTTTCATCTCACAGGATTGCATGCATCTTAAATAAATTACTGTGGGAAGTGTGTTCAGATCATGTCTGTGCTTTCCAGACCTCTCCTCCAGAGCCTGCCTCCTCCCTACCTCTTCCTCCTCACCCAGCATCCCCAGGAGAGACGCAAGCCGCAGGGGTGCCAGCATCTGCCGCCTTAGTGGCCCATCCCTAGGGGCTGCTGCYGATTTTGTCTCCTTGTGCTGTTCTCCACGGTTAATGGAGATCACTCACGTCAGAGCAGCCTGGAGCGGACACAGGAACACGGCGGAGCGACGAGGGGACGGCGAGGGGARCTTGGGGAGGGGAATATCCCAGAAACGGGCTCGGAGGCCCCAGCTGCACCCTACCAGCTCCAGCCACCCACAGTCACCCAGCTGGGCTTCTAGGGGTGGATTTCCAGCTTCTAAGTTCATAGGGCCTCAGATACATCAGCTTTCACCCAGCAGCAATAATGCAGGTTTCTGAACTTCAGGGTTAGGGGAGAGGGGAGGAAGAAACACTACCTTTGTATTTCAGATGCTTAGCAGGAGACCACACACAAGATATTTAAAACCAGCCCAAGATCAGCAGGAAGCAGCAGCATTAGGCAAATTAACATGACTGAGGAGGAAGCAAGAAGACACACAAGCTTCTTTTCTAGTCCTAAAGGAAAATGCAGCAAACTCCACAGCAAACCTTCCACAGGGAAGCTGCTCTGGGTAGCGCTATCATCACTCTCTGTCACCCCAGGCTTCAAATCACCTACTGAGTCTCCAGCCACACTCTCTCCTGACCACTGAGGCCCCTCCTGCTCCCCCAAGTCTGACAGCACAAGGACCCAGGGAACAAACCCCTCCTGAGGATCCAGCCAAAGCGGAATTGAGCCCTCACCTTTCATTGCCTCTGCCCGTGTATCTTCTGCAGGTGGAGCAGAGCAGACCTGAATCCTCTTGAATTACCCTCCTCTTGCTCATCCCAGGCGGGGCAGTGCTAGAAAAGGAGGCAACCAAACCTCACTCAGCCACCCTGACAATTCCTGCACTCAGCAGTGTCGCATCACAGCTAAAAGCCCCAAAGCCAGGAGTGATGCAAGAGTTCTGCCACCCGCTCAAAATAATTCTTCTCTCCTTGCAGCCCTGGTGCTTCTGACAGGAAAAATCCCCTGCAGGTGTCATGAGGGTCTCGGTTCTACGGCCACATTTTGGTTCAGCTCCTTGGTGGCACGAGCGATCACTTTACCGTAGGAATCAGGTCACTGGGGAGGGAGGCCAATCCCCGCTCCTGCTGTGGGTTTTGTTTCTGGATCCCCCTGGGGACAAGCAGCACCCGAGCAGAACCGCGTGCGTCTGCTCGCCGCTGCGTCCTCCTGACCCCCAATCTCCAAGCGTGGCCATGCATCTCAGAGCCGCGCTCGCCAYGGCCGGCCCGCGGGCCCTGGAGGTGGCTGGTTGCTGCCAAGGCCAACCCACTTGGGCTTAATCAAGTGCAAGAGTCCCAGGTTTGACCCCAGCCTACAAACACCGCAATGTCCAAGTGAACTTGCAAGTGTTCCTTCTGACTTGAGGGTGACAGATGCTCTGCCCCCGCGCTCTGACACCCCCGACATCCGAGGAAACATTAGCAGGTAAATTAGGCTCTGAATTCATCCCTGCAAACTGGCTGACTCAGCCGCAGCACAATAAAATCCCGTTCCAGCTCAGCTAGCAAGGGCTCTCCCTCAGGGCTGGACCACGGCRGCTGCCAAAGCAAAACAGAAAGGCTTTAAGGGCTCCCACAATACAGCCAAACTGCAAGCAAGGGCACGGGCAGACCCACGGGAGACCTGACCTCAACTATTCCCCCTTCGCTGTTCCTTAATGCCCATTTAGTGCCACTGACAGAAAAACGTGCAAAACCCAGTCAGAGGCTGCCACATTTCCCCCCATCCCAAGTGCAGAGTTTTCTCCAGCCCCATCAGTCCCTCCAGGGGGAGGGAACCGCGCTCCCCCTGAGCAGAAACCCTGTTCACAAGGGAAGTGCCGCTGCGCTGCAGAGCTGGGGGCTGCTGAGGCTCCCTGCATTTTACATGAGACCACTTGCTGGGAGATAATAATGAATCAAACCTCAGCTGCTATTCAGGTGTATTATAAATTACCTGAGCCTGGCAAGTGTGTCTCCACACTTGCATTTGTAGGCCAGGCATCCAGCTGCATCCCTGTGAGACTCCTTCTGCGCTGCAGGGCTCCAGCAGCGGAATTAAAAGCTCTTTAGCTGAATTACCTCAAACTGCTCAGGTTTCTCCCATTCCTTTGCGCACTAGGGTGGCTCTGTTCTGCCCAGGGTGCCCAGCCCAGAGCAGCTGCCAACGTGGGCTACGAAGGAAGGGCCCCGCTGCCCCACAGGGACAGAGAGGAGACGGGCAGGGTCTGGCTGGGGCAGGGAGAACCCTGCACCAGTGCACAGCAAAGGAAACCAATGAGTCTGCCAGATCTGGGAGACTGTTTGAAGAAGATTGGAGGCAGAGAAGGAAAAAGGCCAAGCCTTACGTAACGGCAGCGCCTCGCGAGCCGCCGTGGGAGAACCGCATCCAGGAGGATGCTCCCAGTTCTGCTCTTCTGGGTGGGGGGAGACACGGAAGAGATGTCTGGTAAAATAAAACGTGCAAAGGCAGCGCTGACTTGGCTGGGAAACACAAAGGGAGGATCGCAGAGTAGAGCAGAGGGCTCCACTTGTTCACTGGCATCTCCCACCTCATCTGTCGGGCACTGCTCCTCCTGGCTGCCATAGGCCCAACCCAAAGCTGGCTGAACAGTTTCCATCAAGCGCAGTGGAGTCGAGTCCCTCTTCAGGAGCATTCTGGGGAGAGGAGATGTGGTTTTACATTGCCTCTGATCAAAAAGAAAAAGAAAAAAAAGCAGCATAAAGAGACATTCATGTTTGTGAAGGACAGAATAGTCCAGGTGAGTACCACCCCCAGCCCCAAAGCCGGTTCCCAGGGGCTGCTGCTTCCGGGGGCGGGCAGCAGGTAAGATGAGGGCAGGGACAGACGTGCCCTTTTCAGCATCACGTAGCCACGAGCACGGATTGCAATGGGCTGTGATGGGCCCTGCTGGCCGGGCAGGCAGCCAGGCGAGAGGCACGAGGAGGGTTTCGCTGCGCCCAGCACTTCCTTTCATCTGGAAGCATCCAGTGCTGACAGGAGGGGCAAGCGGCTGCCTGGACACCTCCCTCTCGGCCATCAAGCACCATCAAGCCACCAAATCAGCTCCTGATGGCCTCTTCCCAGGACTGGGATGGCTGGAAAAGCAGGGCATTGGGCCGCAGTACTTTAGGGACCTGAAGGGGCAAACGGCTGGCTTCCTGATTTGAAAACGGAACGCGAAAAGAGGCTGGAAAGGCAGGAACACTGAAAATTGTTTGCTGTTCTGAGCTCCCGTGTCAGCAGCATACAGGGGCATTATTTAATATCAGGAAGGCCTCTACATACTTTAGACTGGCCTTGTCTGATGCCTCTCGTTGTCAGCTGAGTACAGCCAAGCTACTGGAACAGCAGGGGCCATAGAAGGTGTCACCAGCAAGAGCTTCCCTGAGACTCAGGTCTTTCTGCCTGGGAGCAATCCCTGATTCTGCAACGATCTCCCCTTCTAACCCCCCTTGCAGGGGCTGCCGCAGACCATCAGGCAGGCCAGCTGGCGACGGCCTCGGGGGGCTCCTTCTCACCTCCCTGCCTCCGCTCCTCTGCTCCCTCAGTTATCTCAGTTCCCGGTAGCCTGTGATTTTGTTCCGAAGCAAGCAAGCTGTCGTGTCCTTCCGGGCCACCCCGAGCCTCCTCTCAAGCTCTTCCAGGGCCTCTCTGGGGCTGCACGGACATCYTTACCCTCTGGCCAAGTAGATACCAGGGAACTGATGTTGGAATTTCCTCCAGGTTTCTTCTACTTTTCCAGAGAGTTTCATTCTTACTGTAGCTTTTCCAGCATTCCTTCTTAGTTTCCTTTTATTCTGCCTGTGGAGCAGAGGAATCAATCAGTGCTTTAGGATCCTGGAAGAACACTCTTACTGAATCCCATTTCCCCAGGCAGCAAATGAGAGCTGCTCCATACCCGGATGCTCTGTAGGTGCCATGGCCCCCCTTACAACACTGGGTTAATCCCACGTCTTGGTCGTGCTTTCTCCTTCAGCTGCCATGGCAGGGAAAAGCTGAGGAAAAACATTAACTTTAGGATTTCAGGCCTCTTTTAACCAATCCCTGAACGTCTTCTCCATCCTCTAAAGGAGTGTTGCCACTTTGTCAAAGGGGGAGAGCAAAGGGGCTCAGGGAGACTCAGTGGCTACTGCCTCCTGCTCTGCATCKCCAGGGTCTGTCAAGCTCTGTGACCCTTCAGGTTATTGCAGCCAAGATGCACGAAGAGCTGCAGCTTGCTCACTGCCCAGGCAGCACAGCTTATAGATGCCTCCCTCCATGGATGCAACTGCTCCTCAGCAAAAATAATAGCAGAAATAAAAAACGCACTTAAAACAACAAACTGCCAAGAAAAGACAAGTGAGGTAATTAAAAACATCTTAACAGYGGTGAATGTGGTGCCCTGGCAGCATCTCCTCAGAACTGGTTCAGCAAAAGCTTTAAAAAAAAGGCACACAAAAAGGAAAGGAAAAGGAGCAGCAAATGAAAGACTGGATCTCACAAGGAAGGAGCGGGGAGGCGAATCCCGGCGTGGGGGAGGCTCCAGGCTGGCCAGGCTGCCCCGGGCAGCACGTGCTCAGCGCCAGGGCTGAGCGCTCGGGCACCTCGCCCCGGAGCTATTGGGCTGGCAGGGCGCTCCGCTTCGGGCCAGGAACCCACGCAAGGGTGAAGGTTCCTGAGCTGCCACTTGGGGCACGTGYGCCAGAGATCAGCCCCTCTGCCAACCAGGAGGCCCCCTTCCCAAGGGCTACTGGATTGTGGTTTAAACCTTTGCTTGGCTCTGCTTTCTAAAAGAAAGAGCAGTTCCCAGCCCCACGGGTGCAAGACAGAAGCTGCCACGGCCCCAGGGCAAGTGGAGTCGCTCGGACTTGTGCTCCCCCCAGGAACAGGGACAGCCGGGGACAGGCTGGGACAGAGGCCCACAGGTGCCCRAGCCACGAGCTCCTGGAGGAGCCCAAATGGGAGAGAGCCAAGCGCAGCTCCAAGCGAGCAAGAGATCAGTGAGCTGCGCCTTTCTGTCCATGGTGCTAAACTAGAAGCTGTTTCATGGCTGCAGAGTTGCTGGCATCAGCTAACTGCCAGATTATCCGTAATCTGAGGGGCAGGGACAAGTCATTTGTTATGTTTGCACCACRCCCAGCAGAAGGATTGATTCCTCTAACCATCACTGTAATAAAAGTGAGCTTTAGTTTCAAGACTCAGCCCTTGCTTGGGACTCCAGGACAGCAGTGCATGGGACTCGGGTGACTTACTTTCCAGCAGCAGCCTTCTCACTTTCTCCTCATTCATTCCACCCCTGCTCAAGGAAAGCAAAAATCCCCCTKAGCCGTTTCCAGTGTGGAAATCCCGGCAGCCACGAGCAGCCTGACCCCTCTGAGAGGCAGAGGGCGAGACAACCGCAACACTCGCCCAGGCCAACCGCCTTTGCGACCAGGTTATCCCGTGGGCTGCAGGTGGCATCTCACACGCTGGCCTGTCTGCGCTTCCTCACAAAGTYAAACGCTGCACATTTTATCTGTAACTGGGCCCAAATTAAAATGTTACTCACGAGAGGGCTGCAATCCTGCAAGGGCAGATTGCAGGCGCTCAGCCTCAGSATTTGGATAGCGATGGAAATGAGAATGTGCTGTTCCTGCAGAGCACCCGTGATTTGTTCCTGCCCTCTGCCACCCCCGCACACCCAATAAACCAGTCTCTTCCCCCTTCCTGGACAGGGGAAGGCCCAGCGTGTGCCGATGGGAAGCGCGGCAGTCGCCCGCCACGCGCTGAGCGAAGCTGCTCCGTGTCCACCGCGCGGCGGCACGGGCAGCGGCTGCGGGGCCGGGAGCAGGGCCCGGAGCCCGGGGATCGGCCCCCGCCGCGCTGCAGGGCACCCCCAGACCTGCCCTTCAGCCCCGCTTTGGGAGGGGAAAAACAACCGCTTTCCCTGTGCTTGCAGGGGTGGAAAGGGGAAAAACAACTGCTTTCCCTGTGCTTGGAGGGGTGGAGAGGGGAAAAACAACCGCTTTCCCTGTGCTTGGAGGGGTGGCGGAGCAGCTTGCCCAGCCTTGGTGCCCTCCAAGGAAATACGTCTTGCCCAGAAGCAGCAAAGGAGCCAAAGCCACAGGAGAAGTCTTTGAGGTTTTGCTTCCTATTCAACAACCCGCAAGACAAGGTCTCGTGCTCCCCTCCCCAGCCACGTGGGTCGGCACGGAGCGAGATGCCTCCCGTGCTCCCCCACCCCAGACACTGCTTTAGAGAGTGGCCAAATGCAGCCGCTGTCTCCACGGGGCAGGGGCGCGGGATGAAAGGCAGCCTTGTCCCAGCCCAAGAAACCACTGCGCAGAGACGGCGTTTCCAACCACTTCAAAAGGAGCCGGGCAGATTCCTCCCCTCGCCCCACGGCCAGCAGGAGGGTTAATCCCACAGGCAGCACCACCGGGAAGGAGGGGAACACTAAAACGCAGCCCTCACACAGAGCTTCCAGCCGGGAGGTTGAGGCAATAACTGTTTTCTTTACACTCCTCTCAAACATCCATAGACAGATAGATGTCCCAAAGGTCCCGACACGTTCCCAGACCTCATGTCTTCCTGCCTCCTTCACCCGGCTAGCAGCACCGGAGCGTTTCAACCCGCTGCTCCAGTCGGTCACCACAGCAGCTATTCCGGGGTCTTTAGATTGCTTCCTAATCACTGGATTATTTCAGAGGCTGGAAAAAAGGCAGCTCAAAAACCTGTCACAGCCAGTGCTACTTACACAGAGGGGCCAGGCTAGGCCTCTCAGTACAACCCTGGCTGATGTTGCAATGCCTTTCCAGGTCCGGAGGGGATCTGGGAAGGCTCATCCCACCTCCGGGGATGTCCTATCCATAGGGAACATCCCGCTATGCCCAGGGCCCCACTACCAGAGGGAACACATGTGGTGCTGGCCTCAACACGTCTGGGGGTACTGGGGACGAGGTCCATGGGAGCAGAACACAGGTACAAGGATACAAGGACACAGGGATTTAGATGCAAGCTGAGGAGAGGGCAGGATACCAGCAACATCAAGAGACCTAAATTAGATCTGAAATGCTCCTATAAATCAAGGRAAAGGGAACTTTCCAGCAGTCTGCCACAAATCCAGATATGGCCCGTGTCGCAATTCCACATTATACCATGTAGCATGGTAGAAACAGGAGGTTTCACACAGGTAGCAGTGGTCAAGCACAGCTGGTTCTTGTCCTGAAGGATCTGTGATGAAGTTCAGCCCTTGAGAACGCAACATCTTTTATCTAGGATTAAAAATAAGCAGATTATTTCCCCCTTGTCTTGGCACTGTATCTGAACCAAACCACGAGCTAAAGCTCTGAGGATAATGTCTAGCCCCAGGCCACTTGTTAACACAGTGGCAGAGAAAACTCTTCTATGCAGGAAATTATGCTGCAGAGCAAATGCAGAAATGAGTGCAGACCAAAAAGGAGGCAGGTGGACAGCTCTGGGTTATTTCCACACTTTTGCTGTTTGCCATCCCTGAAGAGGGATGCAGGACACCTCAATACTTCATTCAAAGTGTTCGAGTGTAAGGGTGCAGTGTGGAGYGGTTGCTGAGGATCAGTTTCTGCATGTGCCTTATGCACCCAACTGCTCCAGTAAGAATATAGGGAAAGTCACTCTGCCATGGTCAAAGAAAAAATACT